GAGCATTTTGATTATACATACATCAAATTGCAGCAGCATACACAGCGAAAAAGAGAGAGAGACAGAGACAGGGAAAGAGAGCGGGAGGGAGAGAGAGATCTGTTTATGATTCAGCCACGTTAAGTGCAAGTGTGGAAAATTATTTAATGACTTTTCTGAATTTGAAACGGAATATGAGAGTGCGTTGCGGCAAGTATCATGATGATGGGGCCAAATATTTGCTTACGCAACTTTGAAACACCCAGAGTGCTTGGGAGTTAATAGTCAGATCCTTTGGCAACCGACAACTGGCAACTGTCAAGTGGCAAGTGTCAAGTGGCAAGTGGCCCGGTGAGCTGGTGCTGTGCACCTTTTTCTACAGTTCTATTAATTATTTATGTGTCTGGCAAGTGGCGCGGCCCTCACGGCAACACACTTGGCCAGCGACGCCTAATGAAGCCACACTCCAGCGTGAGATGATGAGGTCCGCGCCACTGCTGCTGCACTGTTGCCTATTGGCAACGACCATGTCGTCGTCATCGTCGTCATCATCGTCATCATTGTCGCCAGCTTCAGCATTAATTTGTTCAGGCAACACTCACTAGACAGCTGAGAGGCAGCTACAGGGCTCTAACTCCAGCCATAGCTCCAGCTCCAGCTCCGACTACGACTACAACTACGACTACATCAACATCTACAGCAGCAGCACATAATTTGTAATTAATGACCAGTTAAAGAGCAACCTTTGGAGGCAGTGAGATTGAGATTGAGCCCTGGCACTGCGACTGCGATTTACAGCGACAAACGGGCGACAGCCAAAAGCTGATTTATGGCCACAGACCGCAAAATTTATATGCCATCACAGAAGTGGCGATGCGAGTCGCCTTTCTTGCTGATTCGAAAGCATCTGCGGCGTCGGCTTGTCTTTACTTGCAATCCATATTCAATATGGGCCCAGTTGCTTTGAGCATATCCAATGCGCTGCGCGTTTTGCACAGTGAAACGGCCCCCTGAAATTAATCAGATGGAATCTGTAACTAAAGGAGAGAGTAGAGAAGGCATATTTCGTTTCAATTTCTATTTCATGGATCAGTCGTAAAGCAATTCTATCCTGAGCAACGTATAATGAACATTATCCCGTTGCAAATAGATTTATAGTGTAGACACTGTTCGACATCATTTCAGTTTTCTTCATGTTTTTGCTTTTGTCAGAGCATTTGAATGTGAAATGTCAGTCACATGCTGGCAGGGGCGGCAGACGGAGCTCTTTCTCCATAGATCAACTCTTTGCACTAGCACAAAGGCAAAGTAAAATGAAAGGCAGAGAGAACAGGAGCCTCAGCCTTAGCTCTGTTTCATTTTGTAGCCGTACATCGAGCATCGGCCTCGGCAGAGGGCAACCAAAGCGCAATTTGTCTTCTGGCAGCAGATTCGATAGTCAATGCTGAGCCCATTTACATTCGCTTTATTGCCAATGGCATTTCTTTTTTTTCTTTTTTTTTCTTTTCTTTCATTCTATTTTCTTTTAGCTCAAAGCTTCAAGACACAGTCGTATATACATCTATATAAGTTTTTGCATGTTGTGACTTTGTCTGCGGCGGCTGTCAGTCGTTGGGCTTAGATCGAACTGAAAGCCTACTGCCGACTGCCGACTGCAGTGCCGTTCAAATTGTAATTCCTCAATTATAAGAGTGTCTATGCAATGCCTATAAATATTTTTGTTGCCTGACGACAGTTTTATACCAGTTTCAGTTGCCTTTTGATTAATGGTCTCCATCGACTTGATGCACCGACAATCCTCCTACTCAGAAAAAGACAAAAATGGGAAAATAAAAACAGAACAGATAGAGAGAGTAACCCCAGCAAGTGAAACAACATGAGAGATAACTGGCAACAGCTTTTACACTCTGTTTATTTTGCGCCCAACTTTTAGCTAAGTGCAAAACAATTTACCCAAATACGCGTGCACACATTGTGGTTCTACGCACACCCACACACACCCACACACGCACAACCAGGCACACACACTTAATTGTTCCCCCGACTAATGCCGCTGCCAACACACAGGCCGTCCTCTGTTGTTGTTGTTGTTGTTGCTGTTTTTTGTGGCATGCTTGTAAAATCAACCAAAGCTGCTAAAAACTTGGCTAGTTGCACACTCGGCAACGTTGCTTTATATACCCTGTAAATGCAAAATGTAGGCTGTATAGAGTTAGCAATCCATCCAGTTGTTGAATCTATTTCCAATGGGAAATCCTGGTATATTGGTTTTGCTTTCATACTAGGAATTGTGGCCGGCTCTAATACATTAACTAATACATTAACTGCAGCAGCAATACCTCTACTGCTACTACTACTACTACTACTACTACTACTGGTGTTATATGCAGCTATAACAGTCGTATAACAGTTGTCAAAGAATATATGAAGAAATTCATGCGAGATATAGAAAGCGAATATGGTGAGGTAATATAGACTTTTGTGTATTCTTACATTAATTCATAAAACTAAATTCAGTTAACTCGCAGCTGAATTAATAGCTTGACCAATGCTACCTTATGGCATGCTACTAATATTAACAGTAAGCTTACTGCGCTGCTTTCAGTCGGTCAGCGTGCCTCTCTCCGCGTTTATTATGCTAATGCAGAATCCTTCTCGCTCCCCCCCAAAACCACCAGCCACCTGCAGCACTGTGTTTTTATGCTCTGTGTGTTGATTGGTAGCAACTGCATACTTGTTGTTTTTAACACCCACACACACACACACACACACACATAGTCATATTTTACGTGTGGAGGGGGAATGTGTGAACTGCCGTGGGAACAGTTGAAAACTATGTCAGAAGCTTTTGGCAAATGCAATGCATTTCTGTAATACCTTCTAAGCAGCATTACCCTAAGCCACAAGCTACTCTCTTTGTGCGCAATAAGTAGGTGCAACAGTTTTATATTGCCGTTAAGCCACTGAACCGTGCAACAGCTTATCATCATTAGAGAGACTATAATTAAAGTGCCGCATTTGCTCAGGCGAATGCGTAAATAGTTTTTCCACGTTTACATCTATGCGCCTTTAAAAATGTTTATTATTTTCATTTTATAAATTCAGATTTGTAGTCTGGCTTAACGACAGTTCATTTGTTACCGTTAAGTGTATGAAATGCATAAAACGTCTTGAATGATTTTGTTGTTGTTTTTGTTATTCCCTGCTTAGCTTTTTTAAGTGTTTCGACTTGAGCAGCATCCGCGCAATGTTTAAGATGACGGCGCGTCGTCTCGTGTAGGTCGTTGCCTGAGAGCTTCAGCAGACTGTAAAATGAAATAATTATGAGCGATAAATTTGCAGGCGCGTTAAAGAAGAAAAATATGTCGCGACGAAGCCGGCATTGACGTTGATAATGAGACTGGTCGCGACTAAAGGTTGTTGGAGGCAACCCACTGGCTGAGACAGCAGCCAAAGCAGCCAAAGACAGCCAAAGACAGCCAAAGACAGCCAAAGGAACAACATCTAATTGGATCGATGTGAGAGGCATACAAAGCCGGGGCATTACTCAGCTGCCCTAACGGCTTTCATGATAGTATCATTAAAAATTCATAAGATATTCCAATTGTCGGCCGCTCGAACTGCCTGAGCTAATTCAATTAAAGGCACAAGACCCGACCAATCGAGAGCGAAAGAGAGAGTGAGAGAGTGAGATAGAGAGAGTGTGCGAGCAGCTCATATATTAACGCCGCTGGCGTCTGGCTGCAGTTGCACGTGCGGCAGGGCAGCAAGTGAATTGCGGCAGTTGCCAAGAACGCCTTGCACAGATTTATTTCATTCGGCGGCATCCTTTATGTAATCTCAATTATCGCCTGTTGGCAACGTCATAAATCTGGGCCGGCGCCCGTTGCGCTGATTGCACGTGAAACATTCTTGGCCAGCGATTTAATTAACTGCAAACTGAACGGACCACGGCCCACGGACAACTCTGGCTCCTTCTTTCTTTGTTCCCCTATCTGGCAGTTACGCTCCTGCGAGCACACAATGCTGCACAAATCTCGCAGTTTGGTCACAAATTTCGTTGACACTTCAGCGGGCACTTTGACTGTCGGGCCGTGTCGAGCCATACCGAGCCATACCGTGCCGTCCCCGGCTCCGCCTGGCCGTGGCCAAAAGAAACAGCATATTGTTTGCAGTCAGTAAACGGCAGATGGAGCAAAACAGCAAAAGCTGTCCAAACTGTCAAATGCTACACTCAGAAGTCGTACAAAAAATATAAAAGCCAAGTTGTGCAACACAGTCGCCGCAGATGCAAAAACCTGGCCGTGCCACAAAACAGCAAGCAACATCAAGAGCGCCAGCAATAGCAACAAACAGCAAACAAGTAAATGCTAACAAACGGAAACAAACAGCTGCATTAGCAGACGCAAATCAGCAACAGCAGCAGCAACAGCAACAGCAGCAACAGCAGCAACAACAACAACGATTCCAAAGTTAAGCGCAGTTGAGTTACTCACTTAAAAATTCCAAACACAAAACGGAAATATGCAGAAGCTGGGGTCACAAACGGAAATGACCCAGCCGCCATGCTCAGGTTCGTGTTGGTCCAGGCATACCCTGTAAGGCAGTGACTCACCACAAACATATAGCTCGATATATTTAGCAGCAATTGAATCTACTTACAGCTAATCGCTACAGGGTATGCGTGAGTCGAGACTCGGCTAGCCACTGGCTTGGCCTGGCTCAAACGAAACGCTAACGAGCGAGGCAAGGATGCAAAATGATGAGACGCTGACATCCTTAAGCCGTCGCCTTATGAAAATTACTTTGATTGCAAAGGAGGCAGCAGGCAGCAGCTGCCATATGGCAGGTGGCAGGTGGCACCTGCAGCCTATCTAGCTGGCAGGCAAGTGCGATCAAACCCGCTACAAATTAGTGATAATGAATAATTTCCCCAGCGGTAATTAAGTGCATCATTAAAACGTGCTTAATTACCAGGAGCAGTTGCTACACTGCAATTGGTCAAAGTTGATGTCATGCCAACACACGACACGACCAGACATGTGTGTGCGTCTGCGTGTGTGTGTAGCTCTAAACGGTTTTCCAATTACCAGGCACTGGCAAAAGTCATTTTCAGTTTGCATATCCGCAAACGTGCGGAACTGAAACAGCATAAGCAACCCGATTACGCCTGCCTGTGGATTTGTGAGCAGAGCGAATCCGCTGTCCCGGCTGGACCTAAGCTCCTGCCTGCCAATGGATAGTCCTTCGAGCGGAGAGGAGGCGACCGAATTGGACCACAGTCTGGCTAACACATTTTTGCTTGTTAGTGCGAAGGTGTGTGCAGGTGTGTCTGTCTGTGTGTGTGTGTGTGTGTGTGTGTGTGTGTGCGTACAGTTTGATATGTGTACGACACGTGTGTGCCGCTGGGCAAACAATCAGTGAACAGTTTAGACTACAGCTCCAACTCCAGTTCCAACTCCAACTCCAACTCCAACTGCAGACCACAAATTAGTTGCGCCTGTGCAGCAGCCGTTGATGCAGCAGCTCCAGCATCAGAGCACAGCCGGCAATGGTGTGGCCAAAGGCCAGCACGAACAGGGCAGCGGATATGTCGTCTACCTCCAGGGCTTTGGGCACTTTCTTGGGCACATAGCCAATGGCCTGATTGAAGAGCACCTGGCCCGTTTTTTTATCCAAATACTTGTCAACATTCTGCAGAGGCAAACAGTTAAACACTAGCAGAGCGAATGCATTTTGAGAGGTACCTCCAGCTCCCAGTGCACGTAGAGACCCGACTCCTGGCAGGCGCGAATGTGACGGTTTAACAGTGGCATCAGCGACCAGCCCCTGATAGAGACAGCGCGCGTCCAGTCAAAGTAGAGATCGTCGTGCATGACCTTCAAAGAGAATCGATTGATCAATAGCTCCGCCTCCAATCCAAATCTCGCCTACAATGCGATTCTCCACAGCCTCGCGCGTCACGTAGTTGCCAAAGTTGAATGCCCCGGATGCCAGGCGCTCAATGCCCAGTCCATAATTGGGCTTGAAGCTGGCATTGTACATGAAGGTGTAGTCGCGCACCTGGAAGTTATCCGCGAGTATCTGATCCGTTAGGAGGTCCGACTGCTCCACTGTGTGCACCCAGATAATGGACGGCGCAGCCCATTTCCACTGCGCCTGCGCCCACTTCTCAATGCTGTCCACTGGATCGGCATACAGCGGCACCGTCAGCAGCGACTTCAACTGCCCGCTGTAAATGTTCTCCAGCGTAATCGTTGCGCACAGCAGTGTGGCCAGAAAGAAGCGGGTGGCAAAGCGGTCAAAGCTGAAATCAATTTGACTCCTATCAACTGATCCAAGGAATTGGCTAATGGATACTCACGTCAGGGGCGCCGATGGCTGCTGTATGAAGAGCGCAAATATATCCAGCAGAGACTTTTCCACATTTTCGCCATGCATGAAGGAAGCCTTTCCCTTGCGCTTCTTCATAATGTAGTTGGAGTATCGGAGAACATACAGAACCAGGCTGCACACGGCAATCGTGGATATCAGCAGGAACCAGGTGCCGCCATTAAAGGGCAGAATGTCGGTGCACCAGGGCTGCAAGGGTCTACAGAAGGAGCATAGGTAAGGGAGTGTGAGCAAGGCGAGCTGTCCACAGCTTACACTGAAGCTGGTCCAAGGATGGTCACTGCCGATCGAGCTATGGCATGCGAGGTCTCCGTGATGCCATCGTACCAATTGTAGATGCAGCCTATGGCCAGTTCTACGCGCTGCTTATAGAGGTCGCCCAGCATGCCATCGGCACTCTCGTTGTCATAGATGCTGCCCCAGTTGTCGGCGCCATCTGTGGATAGAGAGGGGATTAAATAAGTCTTAAGCCAAAATAAAGTAAACTTTAAGCTGGGAGCTTTTATAGAAGCACATGAGATTGCGATGGACTTGTATGGAAGCTTTAAATCAAGCTGAGCTTTAAAAGAAGATCAAAATCTAGAACTGGTACACCTGCATAGTCTGCCTCAATTACGGGCTATTCCAAACCATAATCATTTTCCAAGAGTTTGGATCTAGCCTGAAATAAGCTAAATGATTGCAAGCTTATGCGTTCGTACGCGATTCTAAACAGAAAATAAGCTAAGAAATTTTGAAATCGATCTCAGATATCGTCGAGCAGTCTCGTCTAGAGTTTGCTCACCTCTTCTTAAGTTAGTTTCAATTTTATATTAATTCTAATCTGTACTAAATACAATTTCTATACGCTTACAGGCCTCGATGCGCAGATGACAGTTGTGCACCTCACAGAAGGAGCGCATTATGTTCGCCTCGGAGCCGTCGTAGGCGATTGTCCGATTGGCTCTGTGCGGGTTAATTGGATCCTCATTGCCGACACCAGCTGCCTGTGAAGTTGCGGGAGTTTATTAAGTTTTGGGCAGCAGCGCCTAATTGGCGCCCATTGTTGGGCATTCAAGTGTCTGTTCTAATTTACTAAATGGCCTCGTAATGGCCAGGCACAGCATATGCCACGCCCACACACACGGACAGGGACACAGACACACGCACATGGACATGGACAACGACAACGACATCGACACTCGGCACCAATTAAATGGAAACACGTAATTTAAATCAATGTTGTGCTAAAGCTAGCCATAAACAAAACCACATGCACATGCTTGCGGCCATGTGTGAGTGCGAGTGTCTGTGGGTGTGTGTGTGTGTGTGTTGTTGCTATTATTGTTGTTATTTTTCGGCATGGGTGTGTTTACAAATGTGCAAATGTCCTTAAGGCAAACAATTGAGTGCGAACAAAACTTCCACCAAGTGACAACAAAGAATATTTTTTTGTTGAACAACTAAATGTTTTGTTTGCCTTTGTCCGTTTTGGCATTGGAGAGGGCCGTGCACAGTGGTTAGCAAGTGATGGAAAATGAAATGCAGACATGCAATTTTATGTGATTAATATAACAAATATTTAAGTCCTTGATATTGATAAAAAGAGAGAAAATAAATTGGCTGAAACTTAAAGTTTTTTATTTCTTATTAATGAAAAGAATTTTAATTCTGATATCTAATTAATAAAGGCCAAGGAAAAATCAATGTAAAAATTTAAAATATTTAATTTGATAATGAAACTGAATTGTTCATTCATTTTTTAATTACTCTTCCCTCCTTGCACCACTGTGCAATGACCCCCCACGCGACAATTCATAACAACTACTGACAGAAGTCGACACACCCACTATAAAAATAAACAGAACAACAACAACAACAAGAGCGAGCGTATGCTTAAAGTTTTAGTTACCGAAATCCCTGTCCACAGCAGGAAATAACTTTCCATCAGCCCAGCAAGCAGACAAACCACACACAGGCAGAGCACCCGCTCAGATGTAGTGGACTGGTGTGCGGGGGGTGGGGCAAGCAACCTCTGGGCATTTATTCATGACCATTTCGTACAGTGGCCTAATGCGACAAGGACACAACATTGTGGCGAGGACGACCAATTGGCTTTGCTTAATGCCTGCGTGCAAATCTCAACGACATTTGTGCTTGTGCTCCAGCTATGAGGAGCAGTAGGACTGGGGCTGTCACCCCGTAGGCGTGCCGACAACAACAACAACAACAACAACAACAACACCAACAACAGCAAACAGACAAACAAACAACAGCCAGAGGAGAGAGCAGACCCTAACGGCAGCAACAACGATAAATATAAACTTAACCGGCAATTACTTACCACATAATTAGTAACTGTGTATGGCACATAAGTAATGGAGCCGAGGCGTAGCGCGCGCCGCTGCAGATTGAGCAGTTTGTTGGGATAAAGTTCGGCTCGGTTGGCAAAAGTTTCGTTCGGCAAGAATGCGTCCAAGAATATAGCATCCAAATTTCCACTGCCACCGACAAACTTCTGTGTCCACAGCTCCAAATTGATGTCGCGGTATGGGTGTGGCAAGCAAACTGCGCTCTCTCCAGCTCCAGCTCCAGCTCCAGAAACAAATCCACCTACGTCTGCCTCGCCGCATCCTTTATTTGCTTGCTCTGCGGGCCGCACCATCAGATGGTGCGGGTAGACTAAAGCGCATTGCAAACATGGGAATATTGAAGAACAAGCCAAAAGGACAACAACCAAATTAACTTCCAGCCAATGCCAACAACGAAAAAAAGTTTACAATTGAAGAAGGCGCCGTCAAGCGTGGAAATTATTGGCCAGTGCCAAAGTTGAAAGTTTGATCAACTGATGCGCCCCGTGGCTGTTTTTGCCACATTTACGAGTGTGTGTGTACGAGTGTGAGTCAAAGTTTTGAGTTGGACTTGTTCCGTCAGTGCCCCAGGGAATCTCCGTCAAGTCTGCATTTTATTGCCAGCTAAGTAAAAAGACAGCACAGCACAGCAATTGCTGCCAAATTTTAAAYGTTCTGTTCGCTGACTAAGCAAAGGATTAAGCTAACTACACTAAATATGCAGTCATGGTTCATTTTCACATGCTTGAAAAGAGTAAGTAATAGGGAAAGGAATATTGAAGAAAAACTGTTATTTCATATGTAGATTGGGGAAGTACCAAACCAAGGAACAAAACTCCTTTGTTTTCTTTTCTTCTTTTCAACTTCATACATACACTGCAAAATTTCCATGCTCAAGAGATCCCGTGGTTCTTCCTGTTCGCAGAGAAACAGATAGAGCTTGTCCTTGAGCCTGACATTGGCATTGCGTGTGGCAAAGTAACGCGCGTGCAGGAAATGCCTTGTGTCCGGCAGCAGAGTGATGAAGCCCTGTCAAGAGCAGGCAGCTAGATTTTTCTTTGTGACGTTACAATTAAGAGGGAGAGTTGGATGCACCTCGGTCACGCTAGCATTGACAGCGCGCAGCACTTGCCATTCTAAGGCATCCGGCTGAGACTCGTCAAGGGGCAGCTGGGCCACGTCGATCCACTGCAGCAGCCGGGGCTGGCTGAGATTCCGGAGAGAGAGCTGCATGGCCGTTAGGTAAGCCTCCTGCAGCTCTGTTGCATGAGTGCTGTTGTGCACGATGAGGAGCGAGGAGAGAGGCGCAAAGTACTGGCTAACTGTGTGTGGCAGGCGCAAAGCTGCAGAAAGCTAAACAGAAAACAAATTGTTTTTGAAACTTACCAATAATCTGGATTAGCTTGCTCAGGTGAGCCAACTGCTGCGTTGGCAACATCTTGAGGCACTTTCGTCGAGCTCTGCAACCGTGCGGCCCTCTATATATACTCACATGTGCATCTCTGCAAATGGCCGACCTACAATTGGCTGGCAAATTGAATTTAATGACACTCGAAGCCAAAGTGCCGTCCGTTTACCCGCAGCCTTGTTTGCATTGGCATTAGCTTAATTAAAGATACACAGCTCAGCGCAGCTCATATTAATGCTGTTTAGTTAGGCCTTCAAGCCAACAAACAATGCAAATAAACAGGCAAGGGTTCTGGCTCAGGTTGCCCTCAAATTAACCGGAAGTGCGTGCACTCATGGCCAACAATATGTAAACAATATTAAATATGAGCCGACTTGTAATAATACATCCAATATGGCATAGATACACGAATTTGTACAAGTCGGCGCTTGGCTTATGGCTGAATTACCTAAGCATATTCAATTAGACCGGTGCCCACTGATCCGATTACAAAGATAGCGAGATAAATAACCATTCACTGAGTTACGAGCAAACTTACTTGCTAAACAGAGCAAATATATATATTGTATCTATAAAGAGAGATAAAAGCTTGGGAAAGCGAGGCAGAGAGGGGGAATGATTACTTTAAGCGAAAGTTAGATAAAAGTTTGAAATAGGAGATTCAATCACAGAATGAAGCGTAAGTTAAAGAGGAAGCGATAGAAAAAGAGACTGATTGAGTCAAATGCCTAAACTAAACAGTGGAAAGGAGAGAGACAGAGAGAGCTTTGCCTAGGCTAAATAACTAGAAAGGTAGAAAGCGGGGGACAGAGAGGGACAGAGAGAGTGAGAAAGATAGTGAGAAAAAGTAAGAGTGATAAACAGAGATAGATAGAGAGAGAGAGATAGAGAGACCGCTTCCTAAGTTAAGTAGAGAGAGCTAGAAAAAGGAAGGCAGAGATATGAGGAAGAGAGAGAGATATATATACTGAGAGATCGAGAGAGTGTTGCCTAAGCTAAATAGAGAAAAAGAGAGAGATGCCGAAACTAACCGTGAATGAGAAAAGAGAAAAAGCGAGAGAAAGTAAAAACTATTATCGTACCATTATAATGATCTCAATTATATTTACAAGCCTAGACAATGTGGGAAGGACATCTTAAAGTTAATTTAAGCTCTTTGATAAATGTACCAAATTTTTATCATTATTCTTAGATCGATAAGTTTACCTGCAAATTTGTAATGCACTCGGAGCTTTAATTTAAAGGCTGCAATTTCAGCTTGCTTCCTCGTTGCCTTTAATATTGCATGAGCCAGCAAGGCAGTTCCATATATTCTGGAAACTGCAACAGACTTTCCTGAAAGCTGACATTTCAATATTCGTGCAATGCCAATTAAGCTAAGCAAACAAACAACGCAGGGACAAGCAAAGACAGCAACATCCGACCTCCTGTCGAGAGGGAAGCTTACATGGCCCCACATATTGCGAGCAGTTAACACATTGACTTTCATTAAGAATGTGGATAACCAAGCGATATGGAGTTTTAGATCTGGAACTGAGCCCAGACCAAAGTACCAATTGAAACAATTCAATTGCTCGGTAAACGTGTGTCTGTATATATGTGTTTGTGTGTGTGTAGACTGCCATCCATGCGTGTGGTCATTCGCCTTGCCGAGACAGATTAAGGGATTTACACAGACAAAAAAGAAAAAAAAAAGTAAAAAAGGAAGAAAAAAAATGCTAGAAAACCCAGAATCAAAGCGGAGCTTATAAGAGGCCGTTAGTCGCTGGAGCAGTCCCATTGAACATTTAGAAGCAGAGCAGACGAACATTTAACTAGCTAGGAGGATTTACTCGCATTTGGATGTAGCCACTCCCAATCCACTCCACAGTAGCATGGCAATTAAACGGTATAAGTGTGCTACACGGCCAACAATTGAGGGGAGACGGGGCCAGAGACTGGTGAATGGCGTGCGGCTGGCCAAAAATGTTGCGGCCAACATTCAGATGAGGCCGAAAATAACTTGGAAAAGTTAAGCATGTAGCGAGGCATGCCACTGCTGTCTAAATTAGTAAGCGAACATTCAACTGTTTGCCTGTATATCGACGTGCAAATATGTATGTGTGGGTATTGTAGGTGCGTGTTTGGCGTGTGCCGCCTTTTGAATTTACACGCCTCGCACAGGCAAATATCTAGCAGCATTCGCACTCGCTCGCATCACACTCGGCCCCACCGCGCCGCCAAATGGCCGCAGGCTGACCAACAAAGCGACCACAGACTGAACTCTGGCTTTTGTTTCGTGGACGGCTGCAGCTGCAGCAAATAGCCCAAAAACACAGCCAACACTAACTGGCAGCAGTTGACAGTCGCTGAGCTCGAGTGCATTTTTTCTAGTCTTTGGCTTAAGCTTGACCTGCTGCAGCTTCTGTTTTCTGTTATTGTATGTTGCCAGCCAATGGCCAATTTGATACACATAAAACCCACTCGCTGGCTAATGAAAATTGTTGTTGGCCAGTGCAAGTTGTTGCGGTGTTTGCTTGGTGTTGCTTGAACAAAATTGAACAAGACTTTAATTGCGCTGTGAACTAAAAAATAATTTGCTTTTGCTGAATTTATGTTAGCTTAAGTAATTTGCCTTAGCTATTCAGCTGAGCTAGTGAGCTATGAAATTTGCAGAAATTAAATGAAAGAGATTATCGATCGGGTTGAATGTGAAAAGACTGAAGCGCATGACTACTAATACCAAAAGCTAAATAAAGAAAAGGCCATCAAACGAGATGGCCGATGAAATACTATCAAAAGGACTGCATAACATATTATTTCATCTTCCACTTTGTATTTATGTTATGTGTGTATTCCTTATTAATGCTAATAACTAACACATCAGTGCACAATTACTCAAAACAATTGCACTCCATCACGCTCGACGGCCGCTTTATACAATGTGACAGATATGATATGATACGCAGACCCACAACAAAGCAATGCATAGAAATGGGACAGTATTTACATTTTAATTAGCTGGCACATCAAATTTTGCACACACACACTCACACATATAGTGCCAGTGGCACGTAGTGCGATTTGTCCTTGAAAGGACACCCGTCGCCCGCCCCCTGCTCGATGTGTGTGTGTGAAACAAAATAAATTGCAAGGCCGAAGCATTTTGCTATAATATTTCCCGCACAATTATGCAGATTGGCTGTGCAGATGAGGCTGACAAACGCTTGTTGGCCAACTACTAAAAGGGACGCAGCATATGAAACAATTTCTGTAGCAGCGGGTCGTATACGTAATATGCGCAAATATTTGCCAGCAGAAGCCGAACGTCATATTTGCCTGACTGCCCGACTGCAGCTGGGTGTATTTGCTCACTTCACCTTTCCTTTTTTCGTGAGTTGCAAATTGCATTTTTGCCATGATTTGTAAATAGACTTAAGTATTACGAGTATTTGTGTTGATGTTTGTATTTACAGTTTGTTTCTCTCTCTCTATTTTTGTTTTGTTTTTTTTTTTTTTCGTTGGCTTCGTAGTTACTCGCATTTTGCGGTACGAAGGCAAACACTTCAAATCGTAAATATGTACACACACACACACACACACACACGCAGAGACAGAGTGGGAGAGAAATAAAACTGAAATAGAAACACATTTCATTTCCGTAAGTTTTGGTAACAGAATATGGCACACACACACGCACGCACACACACATGTCTGGGTTATAAGAGGCACATTGGTTTAAGAGCAATGGAAAATGTTGGCCAGAGAATATGAACTCGCCCTAGTAGTACGGGCTTTTGCTCTTGCCTTTTCCATGCTCACCACTGCAGTGTGCAACCACTGTGCGCAGACTTCAAACACACTCTAAAAATAGCTGCAACAAGAAGTGGCAGCCAGCCAAACAACAAGCAGCAAAATGAAATACAATTTTTGGCGATAAACCAACAAAATCGATTGGAAATTTTGTTTTTAACAAAATTGCAGCTTAAAGCATCAATGCTAAGGGGCCAAGGAGACACACACAAGCAGCAGCCCATTCAGCAGACTGACGTTTATGAGTCGAGCATAATTTCGATGATTATAACGCTGTCTCAGTAGGACACGAGCGCTACGCGTTGAGGCATTTTGCATTTAGTTGATAATCGCCATCCTGATCAAGTGTGCAATCCAGCTGAAGTTGCGAGTAGTTGATTCGGCATCGGCAAGCCGTTTAAATGCTAACAATGCCACGGACGTTGGGGAGAGCGGTCAAGTGCTTTGCACCGGAAACGAAGTGTAATGAAAGCGTGTAAAGTGCAAATCGAAAATGCAATACAAAATACTCGTGCAAGGCTGGCAGGCATTTGTAATGCTGTTTCCTCTTACACACACACACTCTCTCTCTCTCTCTCTGTCTCTCTCTCGCTCTGCATCGTAGTCTTGATACTTTTCTGTAAATTACCAATGTCGACACGGCGATAAGGCGAGCCAAAGGAGGCGATGCGAGACGCTCACATCCTGCAGGTAACTATGCAGCACCGAGCCGAATGGCTGCCGTCCAAACGGTGCGAGGCAGTTGAACGTGGCCAAAACGAAGGAAATGTTTCGTAATGGCAGACATTGCTGCTCCAAATGGTTTTCTGTTTGCTAAATTATATCTTTAATTAAATGCTTTTAATTTTAATGTTGTCAAGCATTAAAAATCACTGAAACGTGCCGCAAAAAAAAAAAAATACAGAAAAAAAACATGCTGCAAAATATTTGATATTGCGAATCCACTTTAGTTTAAATCGAAATCAATATTTTATTAATTTAGCTGCGTTGTTCACTTTTCACTTTTTAGCTGCTCAAAGCACTTTTTCAACTAAGCGCCTATGCATGCAGGTATTATCTGTCTGAACCACATTGTCATATATTATTAACGGTCGCATTGCAATCGCAAAACCACCAACAAATTAAATATTTATAATTATTTTTGTAAATCGGTTTTTCTAGCTGCATCCAGATGATTAATATTACATATATATAAATAAACCACAATTTTTTTATTTTTATCTTAAATGCAATTTTCTATGAAACTCGAATGATAATTTAATTCACTTTG